GCTGCATACCAACAGCCTAATGATATGTTTTTTCTATACACACCAGGACAATGCAGTGTGTATCACTGGCAGCAATGCACACTCACACATAAGTGTTACCTTCATTACCGCTGGCATAATGTGCCGCACATATAGTACATAAACGCATGCTAATTCACATGAAATGACATGATGTGATGAAACATTATAGCACATCATCTATCACTTTCATCCCTTAACCACATCATTTTAATTTCTTTCACCTAGTCTCTATCTAAAAGTGGAAATACAGCTGTTAGGCATTAACAAGGTGGTTCTACACTACAAGTAGTATTTCAAATAAATACGCAATTAGATAAACACACAGCTCATACATAATGAATTTAAACCTGACCTAGATCAAGTAACGTGAATGAGTGATTCTAATTTGAGTTGCCAGTTGTACGGCGTATTAAAAGATGGATGCGGATATTTATAAATCTGTAGTAAGTTGTGGAACTTCTGAGGCTAATGTACCATGGGGTAACTAAATGCATTATGCATTCATTCACCGGCGCATGGTACTGATTTACTTAACAATGAAGCAAACGGATGCTAATCCCGCATTAAATACGTTGATGTTGCATAAATATTCTAACAGGCATTGTTTTTAGCATATGCTACCGTGTATTAGCATAGAGCCAAGGGAGGAATAGCCAACGATTTAGCATGAGGAAGCTGCACTGAATGCAATGCAGCAGAGTTTGACCACTGAACGGCAAACTGACCTTCTGAAGGTGACTCTACAGTCCTTGAAACACACACACACACACACACACACACACACACACACACACACACACACACGCACGCACGCACGCACGCACGCACGCACGCACACACACACACACACACACACACACACACACACACACACACACACACACACTTTTGTCTAAAAATAATCAGCTTTGTTTCCCTTTTATATTTGGATGGCTCTTCTGCAGTCAGATCGCTCTCCATATTATTTGAAACACGTTTATGTTGACGGTTTAAAAGCCTGCTGGTGAGGGACATTAAATATTGACGTACAGATAGAATCAAGGCCCAAAAGGCTAGAAATTATTCATAATTTGTCTGATGAGATGTTTTTGATCATCCTAGCGTTGTTAAGCTCGGACCTCTGGCCTCCAGCGCTCTGCTGCTGACCTTGGACTGAATCCCATTACACTCATGTTACGATTAAATACATATTGAAGTTAACAGCTTACTTCTCAAATTTAAGCACGGGAAAACCTTGATTATACATTCATCTGGTATGCGAGGGAAATTGTATCTATTAACTCAAAATAAAACCTTGTATTTTACATTTATTTAAACCCAGTTGTTGATTGAAGGTGGTCGAATTTGATCACGAAATCCAATGTTTGTATTACACTTAGCTAAACAAAAGCTTTCTTGAAACATTATTAGTTTGCAACCTTTGAATTGCTTCACTGAAAATGTATTAAACATTTGTAAGTATTATACAGTCCAGCAGTTTGTCAAAAGACTTCCTGGAAACTGAATTCAGTGAATACATTTGATTATTTCTTATTAACGATAGTAGATATATTCAACTTACCACAAACACGGAGACAAATTGGTGTCCAGTGATCCGATCAAAGTGGTCCTCACTTTGACTCCATCCATTTGTTATTTTTCTTAATTGGGCCTGAGAACTACAGAAAAGGAGAAAAAGCCTTTTGCCCGGGGCATCTGAGAACAATTCGAGAGTGCTGTTGTCGGTAATGAATTTAGCACAGATGGATACACAAATAAAAAGCTCTTTATGCTAAACTGATTCACAACAACATGTCTGAAAGTGCCCAGTCACTCCCCGTCTCCCCTCTCCAGTCAGACCCTTTTAGACCTAATGTTGTAATGGCTCGTGTTAAGGGGAGATGACCAATTTTAGACTCACTCATGGGTGACAGAATTATACCACATCCTGACAAGGCGTTCAACATAGTCAGGCAAACTGTGAAGTACTTTTTAAGCGAATAAAATTCAGATGAATATCGACCATTAGCTGCTGGTTGGACCACACATCTAAAAACATAATTATACGACTAATTTGTTCTCATTAATACGTTTTCGCAGCCGGTTGAATAGCTCGGCCAAGCTAACATCAATCAGAGTTGGACAAACTATCTCGGGGAAATTTACATAACATAAACACCCATAAATTAAACTTTTATTTCATAATATACAGTTATAATCTGAAACAAGCAGCCGTGTTAGAACATATGCACAGCCTTGGGATTAGTATGATAAAATATGTCCGGATGAAAGCAGTTTTTCACAGTCAGTATTACAGTACAGATATTAATGTATTTAGGCTTACAGAGTCAAATTGAAAAAGGGGAGTAAGACTGATGAAATCATTTGATTAAAAGGATAATTTATGGCTTAACGCAAATAGAATACTCAAAAGTAATTATTTTGTTACGTCCTCCAGCAATGTGACATTTCCTATGTTTTGGAGCAACTCCACAATCTGGCAGGACATTATTACAAATTATTCTCCTGGCATTTTGCAGCGGGCGGGATATTGCAGAGCGCACAGTGAAAGACAACATGGCAGAGAGGGAATGACATCAACCAAGGTCACAGGCTATATTCGTACCCATGTTATTTTCAACATGAGACACGATGAAAATAAATCCCCTGGGGCTTCATTGTGTTATCATTTCGCTCCTGTGACCTTTTTGAAATGGATGGTGCTGTTTTTTATCTGTTCTAATGAAATTGCCCATAAATCATACGATCAATTATGTTTTCCAATACCAGGAGGGCCCAGAGTTTTTGTTGTTATTTGTTATCTATGCTCATGCACATTCAGAGATAATAAATTGAGTTTTTGTTCCTTTAACTGCAGATAAAGCATTAAGAATTAGTTTTCCGTGACAGTCAGATGTTTTCTGCTTTAGTGACATAAAGGCTAACGTCAATATGATCTATGACAGGGTGTCCGCGGGGTCTTAAAAAGTATTAAAAGTTGAAAAATCAATTTAGCCAAAATTAAGGCTATTAAAAAGTATTAAACGGCATTTTTCAAGGTATTAAATGTTGTAGCTTGTTTTCAATAAGTATATCAATGGTCCAAAGAGGTTGTATTCTACAGTCTGCCTGAATGTAATCATTGCGTAGGTGTGTAGTGTGATTCTGTCAAGGCACACANAGGAACTAGTTGATGCTCTGTATGTGATGACTACCTCCATTCTGGAGAGGGTCACAAATACATGGATCCTGAGGTTGAAGCTCAAGCCGGCGACCAGGGATTATTAACATTTTTAAGTATTCAGAAAAAATCTGAATTTTTAGATTTTGAGAGAAAGTCCGAATTTTGAGAAAAAGTCAGCATTTTTAGATATTGTGGAAAAGTCAGATTTTTGAGAGAAAGTCAGCATTTTGAGAAAAAAATCCGAATTTTTAGATTTGAAAGAAAAGTCAGAATTTTCAGATTATGAGGAAAAGTCAGAATTTTGATATGTTCAGAAAAAAGGCAATATTTTGGGGGAAAAAACTCAGTATTTTGTACATGGCAGGATTTATGACCTACAAGACCCGATATTCCTGCATCTTGTGACTGTGTAACTCCCTCTCTTGGATATCAGCATGTGAAGGACACTGTTCAGGAACTAGTTGATGCTCTGTATGTGATGACTACTTCCATTCTGGAGAGGGTCACAGATACATGGATCTAGGCCTGTCGCGATAATCAATAAATTGACTTATCGTACGATAAATAAAAATGGACTCGATAACTTTTCTGAGCTCCGTGCATGCAACAGTGTAGCAGCCAAATTAATGATATAGAGACAAGCAGGAGACAACGTGTGACTTAGTCGAGGGGAATTTGAATGGAAGTGGTTGTAAAACCTAATTCCACATAACCGGTGTGGGAATATTTTGGATTTAAGCCAAATCAACGAGGCGAACCTACGGACTTGAATGAGCCGGGCGGTGTTTCGCATTTGCTTTAAAAAGGTAGCAACAAAAGCTAGCAATACGACCGACCTTAAACTGCACCTGAAACACAACCACCCCATTCCGTGTTCNAGCTAGCTAGCAGGTTTATTGTTTCGGGTGCAGTCACTTTGCCTCCACTTGCTGAATAAATGTTGAAAGAAAAAGTAAGTCTGTTTACAGTTCTGTTTCATATGGTGTTGAGAGATGTATCCATAGATTTAGTCCCTAATTTTGCTATCAAAGTGCACCAGATTGATGCATTTAACTTCAACATTTAAAAAAAAAAAGTACTTCCCGGGGGGAGCATGCCCCCGGATCCCCCTAGAGGTGAGGTCCACTACCTGCCCACACCCCCTGTTAAATTGTCTCACCCACATTGAGGATGCTTCCTACGCCCAGGTTTTATTCCATGTGTCAAGTCAGGCAAATTGGGTCCAAATGTTATTGCATCAATGATCTGTTAACATTAAATTCACTAAATATATGCTGTAACTATTTTGCTCTAGGCAACTCAAGGGCTCAGGTAATGTAAATGGTAAATGGACTGTACTTATATAGCGCTTTATCCAGTCTTTAAGACCCCTCAAAGCGCTTTACATACTACATGTCATTCACCCATTCACACCCATTCATACAGAGCAGTGTACCTTACTCTAGGACCTAACATTCACACACATTCACACACCGTTGGCCATGCCATCGGGAGCAACTCAGGGGTTAAGTATCTTGCCCAAGGATACATCGACATGTTGACTGCATGGGCTGGGATCGAACCCACAACCTCCTGGTTGAAAGACGACCGCACTCCCTCGCAGCCACAGTCGCCATGTGATTACTAAATGAATAATGGTCCAAAATAACATTAAATGCAGGGTTTTTTGTTAAGTAACATACTTTCGTCGCCGGCTGGCCGATACATGCCAGGCATTAAGTGGGCCTAATTAATCCCCGGGCCACTTATTCCTCCCAGTCCGCCCCCCGCCCACACGCTTGCTTATGCATAAGCACGTGTCTTTTTGTTTTCTCAGCGTCTGCGTCCGGATGCACGTCGCCGTGTTCTGTGTTTGTGCCAGCAGTGAGTTTGCATTTCAGCCTCCCCGCATGCACATTTACCACCCGCTGTCCGGATCAGTGGAGTCGGGGGTTGGTTGGAGGGGAGGGGGGGGGCTATGAAGCTCAGTGCACTGCTTTCCTCAGGAGCTTTTAAAAAAGATGTGCCGCTCAGTGTCACTGGCTGTCGACGCGGGTCCCACTTGTTGCAGCTGAGGCTTATGTAAGCGCAGCAGTTTAATCACAATTAGGAAGCTCTCCTTGAACTCACTTGCCCCTTGGCTTGTTTGCTGAGCTAAAATTTGCATTCAGAACAAAGCCTTGGTAATATAAGAGTGATATTAATACACACGGCGCTGCAAAGAGAACAATGTCTGAGCGCTGTCAATTTAAATCAGCGTTGGATATCAGGTGGACGTCACGGGGAATGTTCACTTTCACAATGCTATGGATTAATGTAAGCACCTTAGCGCTGGATATCAAAACCCATTAACACCCACTGATATATGTTTTTTGTCTTTAGTGAGAAGGTTACAATTGGATTCATGTCATAGCAGTAGTCATGGTATTTATGGGATAGAGTCAGCAGTGATGGAAACATGAGACCCTCGTGGACACGCTCATATTCCTGATGCGCGTTGAAGTGAAAATACAATCAAATCAAATCAACAGGGATTTGGAAAACTATTTAAATGAAATAAAGCGAATAATAGAAAATAAGTGCTCTCCTCAAAGCCACCAGAATCCAGTCAGACCACAATGTTACCTCGCTGTTCATCAAGAAACACACTCCATTCAAAGTCAACAGAAGTTGTTAGTTTTTCCAATGTTCAAGCAATCGCCTACACTTGTTCAGACATTTGAAAGAGACGTTTATAATCACCCTGCTATTTACTCTGGTTTACGGAAAGTCAGTGACTTACTGGCAATGGAAAACAGTCTATCCTGTTCATACACGCTCATTTTTGGTGGAGAAAGGGTATTATGGAATTGTATAAACAGTATTTGACGTATTACAATCCCATTGTTGGAATACAAATCCCTTGTGATTTGATTTTTCACAAACTGTTAACATGTCTTGTTCTTTTCTCTTCTCCCACTGCTCGTACTATACAGGCGGCCATCCGAGCAAGAGAGGGATGTCTTTTTGAATTGCTTCTCCTGAGACTTCTTTCAAATGTTTTTACGCTTATGTGCTTAAGGGGTTTTGGTGTGTGTGTGTGTGTGTGTGTGTGTGTGTGTGTGTGTGTGTGTGTGTGTGTGTGTGTGTGTGTGTGTGTGTGTGTGTGTGTGTGTGTGTGTGTGTGTGTGTGTGTGTGTGTGTGTGTGTGTGTGTGTGTAACAGTTGTCTTGTCTTCTTAGAGCGCTTAGCACCAATGGTGTAAAGCTGTGAAGCCCATTGAGATGTTTGCTAACTTGGTAATATAAATAACTCTGACTTGACTTTATTTGGTGTGTGTTATCAGGGCCTCATATCAACAGATGTCTTCTGTAATGTTTCTGCTGAATACTGATGCAGGATATTTACATTGTGTCTGTTACTGGAGCGGGTCTGCAGCGAGAGAAGCTCTGTTAAATCATGAAAGCACTTTGGAGTCAGAAGTTGACTTTGTTCCATCAGTCAGAGCACGGAGATGCTTGTGAATCACTTAGAGGGCATCTTGCTTTAAAAGAAAGCCTGATATTTACAGTGCACATGAAATAGAAAACGGAAACAGTGGGGCTGTGAGACAGACAAAGGTAGAGTGTTTGCCTTCACACCGCCATCGCTCTGTGATGAACCAATGAACCGACTCCACACAGCTCTCCCACTTAGACACCCACGCTCCGCACATACACACACACACACAAACACACACACACACACACACACACACACACAC